TATGGAGGGAGCCATCTCCCAAGCCCTTTCTATTCATGTGCCTTCAAAGCTCAGCCACACCTGTCAGAGCATCAAACATCATCTCAAATCCTTCTCCAGTGTTTGAGATTGACAGTGATGGAAACATGTTGGCCAAGCTTGGTTCTTGATCACCAAAACTAGGGTTGTTTTAAAAAGAAAATGCCATTTCCATTATTCTTCTTTTCTTCCTCCCTCTCAATGCACACAGACACACACACACACATACACACACATGCACACACACAGACACGTACACATACACATACACACACACACACTCACAGACACACACATACACAAACATACATGCGCATGCACACACACACTCACATACACACAGCGTGCACAGACACGCACTCACATACACACACGTGCACACTCACACACACGCACACACACACTCTCACACACTCATAAACCCTTTAAAAATTACTGCACTTACTTCTAAAATTACTTCATCTTTCAGTGAGAAAGCCCTCTTGTGAATATTCCATTGTGTTTTCATTGTGTTTGAAAACTACAACTTAGGGGCTGGAGAGATGGTTCAGGGGTTAAGAACACTGACTGTTTTTGCAGAAGACCAGGGTTCGAATCCCAGCACCCACATGGCAGCTAACAACTGTCCGTAACTCCAGTTCCAGGGGATCCGAAAGCCTCTTCTGTCCTCTGTGGGCATTGCATGACATGGGTGCACTTACCTACGTGCTGGCAATACATGCATACACATAAAAATAATAAATAAAATATTCTTAAAAAACTACAACTTAGCTAAAACAGGAAAATGATTTGCTTCCAGTGCAGTTTTAAACCAAACAATTGTGTATGTTAGACTGCATGTTTATCACATTAAGAAAAGCTCCCTCCAAACATTATGTTTTATGTTAACACAAAAGTCTCTCATGTAAAACTAACTGCCACTGTAAAAACATTAATAAAAATAAGAAGTCAACGGGCGTGGTGGCGCCTGCCTTTAATCCCAGCACCTGGGAGACAGAGGCAGGAGGATCTCTGTGAGTTTGAGGCCAGCCTGGCCTACACAGTGAGCTCCAGGACAGCTGGGGCTACAAGGAGACCCTGGTCTCAAAAAGACAATAAATAAATAAATACATAAAGTCAAGGGGCTGGAGAGATGGCTCAGTGGTTAAGAGCACTGGCTGCTCTTGCAGAGGACCCATGTTACATTCCTAGAACCCACATGGAGGCTAACAGCCATCCATAACTCCAGTTCCAGGGGATCTGACTCCCTCTTCTGATTTCCATGGGCAGTGCATGACACAGACATACTTACATACATGGAGTCAATATACTCATACACATCAAAACTAAAATTAAAGAAAAATGAGAAGTCAAATTTGGCCAAATATATCCATTTAACTGTTATACTAAGTGAAGTAACACAGACTCAGAAAAAAAAAACAACATATGTTCTCCCTCATATGTGCATCCTAGCATCAAACCCTGATAAGTGAGTATGCATCCAGACGTAACTACAGGAACCAGGATAATGGAAAGGAAACAGGGAGGTAAAGGAAAAGAAAGAACCTGAAAGAGAAGAACAGTAGGAAACAGGCCTTAATAAGGGAGATATGGATAAAAATTGGGCTAGTTTAAGGGAGGGGGAGGGAAGGGTATACAAGGAACCTAGGGGATAAAGGAAAAAAAGGAGCTCAAGAGACGTAGGACTGTAGGAGAAGGGTATTATTGAGAGCAAAATGGGGGCACCTTAATTGGGGAAACCATGATGGAGGGGTTAGACAATGTGAGGGATAAATCATGCCTAGCTAGTTTTGAAAACCAGAGGGAACCATATTACTCCTACAACCTACTGACAAATTATACATACCAGATCAAGAAATATATGTCTAGGCAAGGTTTATCTGAGAACAATTGGTCTTTGCCCAAGCTTTGTTTACATGGCACATGGTAATTAAACATACCAGACTGGTGGAACTAAGCTTCTTGGATGTTTAACAGACATACTTTGAGGCCTATACTAATTTGGTCAGAGGGACGGACACAAAGGACAGTTTTTGCTCTTTGCCCTCCTAGGTCGACTAGTTCCAGGGGACTATGAGCATCCCTCAAAATGTCCTGTAACTGTGGTCAATCACCTGTCCTCTTGATCAGGGAGGTCATGGAGACCCCCACCAGATGGACTTGAACCAGTGTCCAGTCTACAAAGAGGAGGGTCAACATAGAGGAATCATTTCCTCCATGCTTCCAAGCAAAGCCAGCCATGGTCAAGTAGGACCTTTGACTTATCTTCTCACAGACAAACTAGTAAAGGAGAGGAGCCAGGGGCTCCTCCCAAGCCCATGTGACCCCTGAGGAACAGATCCTCAAATGACCTTAAGAGTAAAAATAAATTGCTTTATCTGGGCCAACTGTATGGCCTTAAACACCCAAAAGGAAAGTATAACCAAAGATTAAAGAGGCCAATATAATTTCTTAAGAGTCCATATGTACAGCTAAAGGCTACATAACAAGCAAGATAGGAGATACCTTCTTTTGAGTTGTTGGCCAGGGTGACCAAATGGATTCCCAGGTAGTAACCCAGCATAGAACTGGGAAATTGAACAGCAGACCCCAATCTTATCCAAAGGGATACTGACAACTGATTGCTGCTAGATGAGGAACAGCTGACCTTCCTAAAACAAAGACCTCTGGATGGGCTGACTAGAGTCACCAAATGGACAAGTAGTGGGGAATGGCGGGGGTGCCAACAACACAGCAGACAGTGAGAGGGAGGACAGTAAAAGGGCTCTACCTGGGGGGGGGCTATGGGAGGGTGCCATCTGGGAAGTGGGTATATGGATGAATGGGATTGTTTGGGATGTTCTGTATGATGTGTACACGTACACACACACACACACACACACACACAAAATCAACAAATTAAGAGTTATGTTTGAGGAGGAAGTGTGAAGGTTTACGACATGTTAAGTGGTAGAGGTGATAAGCATTTCCATTGAGGTCTACCCTATGGCTTTGTATCCATACACAGGTGCCGGAATCTGAATGCAACTGACCATGACTAGTAGTAATCAGATACTTACAGATTGGAGACACATGCGTCAACATCTAAGCGTTAGTAGCAAAAACAATGAGTCTTTCTTTAGGAAACAATATATTTTGGAATGAGGGGGAGATCTTTTTTGAAGGTTGACGGCTCATTCAATTTTGTGTCTTACAGGGTTTATACTGAGTTCAATATTGTATAACTGTATTAATTCAACTGTGGCTCTGGAAATTGTTATGTTAAAGCTGTAATGAAATGCTTCTTCTAAAAAATAAAAAATATATATACAAAAAAACAAAGTAAAAATTATACTATAATATTCAAATAAAATATACTGGTATTTATTGAATTTGAGGTAAATGATTACCCCCACATTTCTTTTGGAGTCTACATTTGTATTTTCATAAATATGTCTGCTTCTTAAGCATGTTAAAAATGAATACATTTTAATGGTAGAGATACAGCTTGGTGCTAAAGCACTTGCCCAGCTTATGTGAGGTCCTGGGTTCTATCCCTAGAACTGCAAAAGTAATTAATGTAAAAGACAGATACACAGACACACTTCAGAGGATGAGGACATACAAAGGCAGCTCACTCCTAAAAGATATTTTGCATAAAACTTAAATACAATGTGCTTGAAATTTCAGGAATCTAAAGTTTCTTGATTTATTTTTTATTCTAAGATAGTCTCATGCACACTATCATGAGTCGATCCTTCCTCTTCGGTCCCTGTTACCCTGACCGCCCCCTCTTTAGTCCCTTTACCCTGACCACCCCCTCCTTAGCCCCGTTACCCTTACCACCCCTCTTTAGCCCCCTGTTACCCTGACCACCCCTCCTTAGCCCCGTTACCATGACCACGCCCTCCTTAGCCCCGTTACCCTGACCACCCCTCCTTAGCCCCCTGTTACCCTGACCACCCCTCCTTAGCCCCGTTACCCTTACCACCCCTCTTTAGCCCCCTGTTACCCTGACCACCCCTCCTTAGCCCCGTTACCATGACCACGCCCTCCTTAGCCCCATTACCCTGACCACCCCTCCTTAGCCCCCTGAAACTCTTTTTTCCAGAAAGTCCCTCCCGTTTTCAAGCCTAGGGTGACCCACAGGCTTCAGTGAGGGTTTCCTGCTGTGTGTGGGTGGCCGCCTACTTACCGGAGCATCGGTGAATCCACAATTTAAAACGCCTCTCCAATTTTTCTCGTTTCTCTACAGTTTATATCAAAGAGCTATCATTTTACTTCTGGAAGTTTCCTGAGGACGAATGCTCCCTGGTGGCCTTCCTGACCACAAACAAAGGAAGTGCCAACCAGCAAGCTGAGCTCTCCCTCCTCTCTGCACGTGTGAGTTTTAAGACTTATTGTTGTACAAAGTAATAACATACATAGAATAATTACATAAACTGCGTTTCCTAACCACTGCCGTCAGTGGAGAGGTCTAATAGCGGTGTCTCCCATCACCACGGTACTGGTACTGAGGGTGTTGTTGCCTTTTAGCATCGAATCTCACTCCTGAGCGGTGTGGGGCCCCAGTCTCCTCTCAGTCTACTTCCCGGTTGGTGACATGAGGTCTCTACTTTGACACATGTTCCTGTCACTGCCTCTTGGTACCCTTGTCAGTGGCCAAAAGCGATGGGGCGAACAGACTTGGACTGTAAGCTGAACAACCCTTTTCTCTTTTAAAGTGAAGAGCCTCGGGTAGTGCACTGTGGTTTCTCCAAGCCGGACTAATACAAGAAGCACTAAATAAATTTACTAAGTGTTTTTTGAGTTCAAGTTCTTCTCTTGTATTTATTTCTCCCCTTTCTAATATGATGTTGTCTTTTCAACAGAATAAAACAGAGAGAAATAAGATGCCAATGCTTTCTCTTCCATGGTTTGCTTTCTGAAAGTCCCCGAGCAACTTGCCCACCACGAGCTGGAAGAGCTGGTTGGGACCCAGGCCCAGCCCCAGCCAATCTTACCTTCTAATTTGTTGTTCTTCCTCCTCAGCCATTTTTCTACGGTCTCTGCACTGACACTTTCAAAAACAAACTCATCTAATACCTGGGGGTGAAGAGAGAGATACGCCTTCACTTTTTCATCCGTCAAACCTGGAAAAGAATTGAAAAGGATAAAATTCACCTACGCAGCATTTCCAAACACAGGCACCACATACATGAGTGGCACATTAAGCTAAGATCCAGTCACTTGCCTCTGCTGGGGAGACGGTCAGAGGTGCTGGAACGGGGCCTAATGGGAAGAGACTGTCTGCCGGGGGTCAAGGCAAAGCTTTGGAACACGTGATGGCTACACCAGACTGTGATTAGCATCGATGCCAGGAAACCTTAATAGTTCACTTAAAATGCTAAAACATTTTATGTCTATACATTTATATTTATTATATATATTTATTCACATTTATATAAAACCATAATAAATGAGCAGAAGGGAAGAACCCAAAGTTGATACTCTGGCAATTTGAAGTGGTGGACAGAACGTTGGCTCCAGCACTGGGCATGAGCTAAAGCTGTGGTCAGTTGCTCCAAGCCGGGCTTTACAGAGGCCTTATTTTTTCTTAGCTATGTTAAATGTTCAAAGCAGGTGAAACTTTAGCAGCAGAAGCAACTAGAACTTGGCACTTTATTATAGCTGCGAAAATTTCTTATCTTTTACTGCTTTGTCACACAAATTCCTCCTTTGGCACTAAACCGGATGGCATAACTAATGTTCAGTTTGGAATAATCTTGGCATTTCTTCATTGATAGTCTATGTATAGAGTCAGTTTCCCTGAAATTTCAGACTAGTGAAACCTGTTGAATATACATAAGATTTTTCAGACAGTAATTTTATATATATAATTATATATTTCTGAAATTAAAACAATTCCAAACATAAATGGGGTGTGAATAATTATTTTCAGTGATGAAATTATTTTCGGGCCATCACTGAGAATTATCTCAATTATCATCCGTCAGGTTGGAAGAGACAACAGTGGAAAACTACTCTGAGACAGAAAAAAATGGAAAGTCTAATTTTGCCACTCCAGAGAGTAGGCCGCATGTTTCCATAGACAAAGCACAGAATTCAAAAGTGTGAATTAATTCTGCTGAGAACTCAAGTCACAACTGTTGGGATTCTGCGGCAGAAAGGCATGGCTCAGAAGGGGAAGGAGTCCCTTCATTGAAATCAGTCCTTACACCTTCTACTTCAACACATGCAGAACAGACATGGGCTGTGTTAGAAAAAAGAAAAGTGAGATCCATCTTGATTCAGCACAGGACAAAAGAGCTCAGCTGGCAGAGAGTTCTGTTTGGAAAATCCTACATGAAGCTAAAAACTCATTAGAGCGTGTGCTGGAGGACAAAGTATGATCATCCCTAGACACAGGGAGAACTAGATGTTGACGTGATGTTGTGCTTCCACTGTTTGAACCACGGAGAAGCACCCCACTGATGGTCACTAGAGGGTCACACACAGGTGGAAGAGATCCAGCCTGTTCTGCTGCTGCTGTCACAATTCAGCCATGACACCTGCACAGTAGACCCACACGTCCATATCACCCCCTCCCTCAGTCTTCCCAACTGCCAAGATTCTTTCATCCCAAATGAGGTGCTATATCCCCTGGCCCTCAGTCCCTACCACCACAGAAGGTGGGGGTCCCAGTATTCCACCACAACTAAGAGCTCCATCAGAAGAAACCTTGTTTTTAATTCTAAGGTTCACATGATCAATACCCCTTTCTCGGATTTACGGTAACAACTGTCTCAGTTTTATAACTTCTTCTGTGTTTATGTATGAACATAAAGAAATGGAAATCATTTTCTGCTTCTTAAAACCACTGACCAGATATAAGGTAGGTTTAAAGCAATTTTATTTCATGCTATTAAATAATCACACTACAAGAACTCAATCATCCAAGTCCAGGCTGTACTATAAGGGCTGAAATACATGTCCTGTGAGGAGTGGGGTGGCGAGGTGTAGATGTTCAGACTGGAGACACTTGCTGGGCAGCACTGCTGCATAATCTGAATGCAATGAAGTAAAACAGGCAATGAGACTTGGTCCTTTGCTTTGGCTTTAAATCCAAGGAGCAACACCGGGATTAGCAATCTGGAAAACTTCAGATTTTCTGGAGAGACCCACAGCTGCAACACCTCAGCAGGCAGCACATTCTCCTGCAACTGCTTTGCAGGAAGAGGGACCCCAAGGATGCAAGGGTTAAGGACTCACACTGCCAAGAGCTGAGTGCACACGCCAATACACTTTAAAACCCGTACGGTCCAAAGACACACACCATACACAATTTTCCTTAGTAAATATACCGCAAGCTAAGTGGATATGCTAATGAATTTTAGTACCTGAACAAAAATCCACCAAACAAGCATCTCTCGTGTCTTCTGAAGGCAATGCTGGGCCACCACATGACCCTGAGCAGGTTCTCGCGAACTCATGGCCTCTGTGTGTGTGTGTGTGTGTGTGTGCACTCTCCTAAATTCATATGCTTGTTCTTCTAGACAAAAGTTCTTTGGACCCATAACATCCATGGCATGGCGTTTATGCAAATTTATGCAAAATTTTTTGTCCAAAAGCAAATGAAGATTGGCAGAGAGACAAATAAAAATCAGTTATGCCTGCTTTGAGAATTCCAAAATCCAACATCATCCACCTTCTCCTTCTGAGGAGACCCAAGGTCCAGACGAGTGTTCTCTCCACCTCGGAGCACAGGACAGGTCAGGTCTTAGACCCGTGTTCTCTTGATCACCAAGACACTAACCACAGCTGGAAGAAAGACACACGGCCAGGAAGCCGGCTGCTCCTGTTTTCCTGTACTTTCTCTTTCCTGAGTTCATCACAGTTCTCAGGATTGCTACTGGCCAGATCCACCTCTGATGTGGATACCTCTGTACACATGTTGTCTTAAGTTGTAAACTGAAAAACCTGACTGTTGAGCCTCAGGTTTCGATGAGGTAGAAACCAAGCAGAGACCCCCTCCTGAAGTCGCAGGCTCATCCTGGTCCCATCTCAGGGCGAGAAAGCCCGTCTCTCCTCCTGTTTCCTTCCTCCTCCTGCTCCAGTGTCCCAAGCCCTCTCCCTATTTGTGGTCATGCTGGTGTTGGCCTGACTCCTCCGTGCCCTTCACCTGCCCAAATAAGGCCTTTGGACTGTGTATGAACAACTTGACCTGGGACTTCTTCCCTAACCACACTAGACTACAAGCTCCATGAGGCAATAACTAGTCTGTCTTATTCTCCACATGGTGCCAAAAGAATTACCCAGCAGGCCTGAGCAGCTTCTCTCAGGATGGCTGCTTACAGAGCTGGCCTTGGCTGACATCTGAGAATGATGCTCTGAGGATGGGACCCATCCACAGATAAGGTCAAGTCACGGGGTGTACAGTGTGGCCTCTGCCACCTGCTTTCCTTCTGAAAGTCTGAAATTGGGGAGTGTACAGAGGGCCCTGTGTCATCAGCTGCCACACAGCTGGGCTCTGGGTCTTCCACATGCTTCCGTGGTAGCCCACAGCACAGTCACAAGCTAGAGCTGGAGGACCCGAGTGTGTCGGGGTCACTCTCCTAGGAAAGGGCTCTTGGAAAGACGAACCCCTGGATCTTGGCCAGCATGCCTCGTCCCTCCAGCTGTAATAACTCAGCTACTGTGAGCACAGCTGTGAGGAACGGCTGACATTCCCCCATCTTGAGTGCAACCATTTGCTGAGCCTGAGTCCTGCAAGGGAACCACCAGGCTTAGGGAGTTAATTCTGGAGGCTGCAACATAGACATCTTTAGGTGGAGTCAATGAATTACTTGTCTGGTGTGTTCCCAGAAGTCTGTGATGAGAGAGATGGTTTGGATGTGCCTTCTGGAACGGCCTGGTTTCACAAGTTTATAGGCATGTTGACCAGCAGTCCCACAGTACACAGGTGCTGGGCGGGATGCTCCCACAGCAGCTCCGACGGCAGGCCCTGCCGAGGGCCCCGGTGGCCTGCTTCCCTTTCTCATGCTTCTACCTGTATTTCCCTTTAGTTTTTGCAGAGTTTAAATGTCCTTTTTGCTCTGTAAAAGGTCCCTTCACAGTTTGAATATACTTTCATCATCTGCATTGTTTAATCCACTTGCAATGCTGCACCATCCACACTTAAATGTTTATGACTGAAGATTTATCTGGCAGTTCCTTCTAAACACTTGTCAAATAAGGGGATGGATTAACAGGCTCTAAACTTCATTTCTTTTAGGCATTATTTCAAAAAGTAAAGTCTTATATACAATGTACAGAAATTATCACATGCCAGTTTGGTACTATTAAAACGGTATAAAATCATAGCAGGGACCAAGAACTCCAGAAATACAGCCAACGTTGTAACAGGGCAAGAAGCAGGATGCAAAGGGAGAGGGGATGTCTCACAAGACATATGAACATCTTATGACGCATACTTGTCTCTCACTGGTACACATCGCTTAAATGCTACCCTTCCACCCAGGACTCCAGAGTCACATGACGGACCTGGGACCTGGGTGTCCCTGCCAGTGCCGCCACCTCTGGCCCTCCTTCCTTAGCGGCCTGTCCAGCCGCAAAGCCGCTGTTTCCAGAGCTCACTGACTGTGTTTACCTATGGAGCACACGTCTCACCTTACTGGGTCTACTCTACCGCTAAGGTCAGCAATCAAAGCTACTGTAAGACATCCAGCTACAAGTTCACCGCTGAAGTGATAAGCTAAAGATGAAAATGATGTTTTGATTTTTGAGTAGAACACTTACAATTAAGCCCGCCCCCCAATTTGACCCTTTCCAGGAGTCAGAGAGCCACACCCCCACAGGAAGTAACAAATGGAGACTGATGTCCACACACAGGCATTGCTAAGGAAAGGACTCGGGTTCCCATTTCTCAGCTCAAATGCAGTTCAAACTCACAGTAACCTGGGGGGAGACTAGGAACTCCCGTCAACAGATGTGAAAAATTATGCTACTGCTTTAAAGCAATCACGACTCCTCAAAAGCCTGTATTTAGCTATATTCAAGAGTATTTCACCTAATTGCACTTCAGAAGTTAATGTTTCAGATACAGTCATGAGTGCTTGAGACCTATCAGATATGGAAATTATCTAGCAAGCCA